TATATATATATATATATATATATATATATATATATACATATATATATCATATATATATATATGCACACGCACACACACTCATACACACACACACACACACTTACACATATTAATACTCTTCTACTATATGACTATATAATCATTAATTTTGCTTAGAAAATTTAATGGCTGCTTTCCAGAAACTAAACTCAAATCAAATATAAGGTTTTGCATACAATGGTCAAGATCCTTTCTATGTTTATAATTCATTCAGATTTATCCCTTTTGGTCCACAGTTCGCTTAGGAAACTTCGCCTTTACAGTAACAGACGTTTTACAGAGGTTTTGTAAACTAACTTTCCCTAAAAAATAAAGACGTACAAAGACACACTACGAAGCCTTTACCAACAACCAAAATATCTTCGAAAGCAAACTCGACTTGCTAATTAGAATATTCTGTCACCAGTAGCCTACCACCAACAGACGGACGGATAGGCCAGGACATGACGCCTATTCAGAAGCAGGGAGGCGGAGGGAACATGGGCCACGGGGGCAAAAAATTTCCCTTCAAAAATTTTCCCTCTGAAAAAATTTCCCTCCTAAAAAATTCCCTCCAAAAATTTTCCCTCCAAAAAATTTTCCCTCCAAAAAATTTTCCTTTCAAAATTTTTCCCTCTAAAAAATTTTCCTTCCAAAAATTTTCCCTCCAAAATCCGGTCTCCTTTCCCCTGCCATGATCGAGCCCTCTACGAGCCCCTTCCTTTACCCCTGTTAACGATTTTTTGAACAAATAACGTTAAGTTACATACATGTATCTTCGTTAATGTCTTAAATATATCATCGATACGACTGCCCCCTACAAGACTAAAATTGTTAGACGTCATCTAGTTCCATATATAAAGGATGACATCAAGAGAACTATAAATGAGAGGAAAGACCTGATATTCCCTTCTAGCTGAATATAAAGTTTTCAAAAAAAAAATCAAACGTTAATCTAATCTGCAAGAACAAATACACACTTCGTAAATATCGGTAGACTCAGTTATGAACAAACAACTGCCTCCACAGAATACAAATAGATCAGAGTCCACGATAAATACTATGAAACCTCAGCGAACAAGCGCTTGCTCCATTAATATATTTATAGCTACCGGTACCTACTAATCACTTTGGAAACATGACATTAAAACCGGTTTTCATATCAGACGCAGATTAAATTAATGATTATCCTCCTAAAGTACTAGAGAAAAGTTACAAATCAACGAACATTCCTGAGCTCAAACCACCTTATGTCTGAGATGCAGCATGCGTTTACAAGAAGCTGCCCACTGAAACTGCACTGTGTGATATATCGTACGCCTTTGGCAGTGTCAGGCATGATATTCTTTATAAAAACGTGAATAATATTTTCGGTCTCTTTCCACAAGGCTCTATATTAGCCCACCTTATTCACTATATTATTCACTATATCGATCTATCTATTATCACTCAACAGATTCTTCCAAAAGCAAAGAGGTATTGGCCCCAGATTAAATCCTGATCAATCACATGTCTTCAGAGGCGTCTGGCAAAATATGGCCAAATTCCCCACTGACAGTATACCAGACACATATACGACCTTCGACACACACGTGTACAGCATTTACAGAAAAGGAATAGGCACATTGATGTACTTGAATCGCATAAATAAAAAATCCCTACAGAAAGGAGAATTATTGTTGCACAATCTCCTGCTTTCATCATTACAAACTACTCTCTCAACATATGAGGCTCAACCAACGAAACTCAAATACAAAAAGCACAAAAAAAACAAAGGCAATATATGTAAATATGACCATATAACGCCTTATGCGAACAACTTAAAATGACAATTGATCAAGAATATCAATATGAAACAGGCATACAGATTCGTAAATTTATGCAGGGTTTCTATCTTCATTGGTTCATACCTCTACAAACATCTCCAGCCCGAATCATTCAAAGCAAAGTTCAAGGAGCTTCAGGTATTTAAATGCAAAGTCAAACAACGTACCTCAGATTCTAATGATGTGAGCATCTGGTTTTATAATGCTCCTTCTCACGCACCTGATATTGTTTATGCTTATTCTACGTTCCTGTAAACCATCTGTGTGAAAATAAGAACCATTACAACTAATGGAATAAAGTGTTTGGAATTTGAATTCAGATTTCTATGGTTGGGATTTATGATCATTAGAGGAAAAATCTCGTTTCTGGACCGTAAAGAATTAACAGATTCAGATGTGACTTGGCAGACAAAATTTACCTTATTGCTCTCTGCTCAAAGCATTTACGAAAAAAATAAATGTAATGTAATAATCAAAAAGTCTGAATACAAATTATTCTAGAGAGATTAGGTATCAGGCAAAGATCCCCCAGTGTTCCCAAAGTTCCCCCAAAGTTCCTTTGTTTCCCGTATTATTTTTAGCGATTGTAGGGGAAAGGTGGACGGATAAAGCTTGAGAAGAAACTGGCCCCTGCTTCTGATCAGCTTTAGGCCGAG